AAAAAATACTAGTACTATAGACTTTGATACACCCAATTCAATGTTTGTTGATTAATCTCTCATATTTGTATAGTGTTATTAATGACTTATATTAAAATTCTAGTCTGCAGTAAGTACATTTTGTCCTTTGTTCTAAAACTACATAACTAGTAATTATAATCTTTCCCTTCTTTTTTATTAAATATATATTTCACTCACCTCTCTTACAAGATGTTTGGAATCATTCTAATTGGACAAAGTAGAAAATATATTTGAATAAATGTAGGTGTTTTTTAGTTTCACAATATGAGCTTATCTATGGAGATGGTGAAGTTCACTTTTACTTTGGATTTGGTGTAATTTACCAAAAGTTGTGTTAACATTAGAAGAACACTATAAAACTCTGTCACAAAGAGTGACAAGAAAATGCTATGAAATCTAGTTCTTAACAGTCAGAACAAATAAGAAGGATTCCTTTCCCTTGTATTATTTCCCTTCTCTTGCAAAATTGTTTTGGCAGCAATGTTACTTGCATCCTACTGCATTTGCATGAAACAATGGACCAATATTTTGCATTTCCTCTCAGGTCAGAGAAGCTATGTCGAAACTGAAACTAAAATTTGCAAGAAAAATATTTAGTCACCCATTTCTCCCCAATCTTGCTAGTTTCACAATTCTCAAGGAAAATAAAAGTATATAGAATATTACTATATATTTGAATAGTAAAATCAATGATTTAGTGAATTTAAATGAACAGTGTGATTAATGATTAGTGTAATTAATTGATTAGTGATTAGAGTAATTAATTGATTAGGCTGATTGTTGCTCAGGAATATTATCTGACTAGACAGATTACTGCAATTGATTGTTTGGTGTGATATTGGCTATATAGATTACCCAAAATTGTTCCTTTAATTAATTCAATCAACGTACTATCTTAACAAACCTACCATGCCAAAAAGAAAATCCAATGCCAAACCACAACCTAAAGAGAAGATAATCCCCACCAATGAACCACAAGACTCCTGCACATGCCTTAAATGCTACAAAAATCTAAAGGATAATGAAAACTCCATCAAATGTTCTCTGTGTAAAAAATACGCTCATCATGACTGCTTGGGATTACCTGAGCAAATGATTCAATACCTAGAATCATCCAATGAGTTTCCATATCTCTGCAAATCATGCAGACCCAAACTGGATCTGTCTGAAAGAGTTGATACCATTGAAACCATTGAAACATCCCTTAACACCATAGTAGCATCCCTGGACGCCGTAAAAGAAAGAATATCCAACCTTGAAAAAAAAGACACAACGCAAAAACCTGAACATCCAATAGCTACAAACCACATCTCTACCCAACAACCACAACCCAATCCAAAACCCAATCCACCAATAAACACAACCCAGACAAATATTGATATCCCAATCCTCATCAGAGAAGCCGTTGAGCGTGAACGGAAACGTCCAAACGCCATCTTATTTGGTCTAGAGGACATCAATGACAATGATGACATCACAACTGTCCGAAACATCATCAGTGATTATCAAGCATCAACCATCTCCGCTGATGAAATACTTGACATTTCCCGCATTGGCCGAGAGCTCAAAAACAGAGACGGCTCTGTGGCCCCACGCTTGTGCAGGGTCATTTGCAAAAATGAATCAAGCAAACGTAAATTCATTTACACTATAAATTCACTCGCCAAAACCAACACTAACCATAAGAACCTCCGTTGTCGCCCTGACCTAACCATACAGCAACGTGCCCGCTCCCGTGTACTCTGCACTGAACTCAAAAAACGTCTAGACAATGGAGAGAAGGACCTGTACATTGACTACCATGCTGACTGTATCAAAAGTAAGCCACACAACCCGCAACTCAGCTTTAACCCTCAACCACAACCCTACCTCAACCGATCCACCATCACCCAAGACTAGGCATGCACGCCCCTAACTACCTCAATTCCAACTACTGCTGGCCTTAAATGCAAACTACTCAATGCAAGAAGCCTCGTGAATAAAATACCTGAATTTTTCCTCCTACTAAATATGGCTAAATTCGACATTATATTTGTCTGTGAAACATGGCTCAATGCATCTCTCCCTGACTCCATTACCACAGTAAGAGACTATCATGTTTACCGATCAGATCGCAAAATTCATAGAGGAGGTGGTGTTGCTATCTTCTATAAAAAGTCCTTACATCTAAAAAATATCCAAGTTACCCAGGAGCTTGCTCTTCCTGAGACCATCATCTGTGAACTATCCTTAAATATCACAATTCGATTCTTACTATGTTACAGAGCACCTGATTATGACATCGAACATGTAAACAAGTTAAATACATTACTAACATGGGCTGCATCCTGCCCATATCCTTTTATCTTTCTTGGTGATTTCAATCTACCTCATATTGACTGGACCCTAAATGAATGTACAACTGAAATCATACACACAACCTTCTACAATGCTATTACAAATCATTGGACTGGAACAACTAATAACCAACAACACTAGACTAAACAACTGCCTCGATCTCATCTTCTGCAATAGTTTGAATTTAATTTACGGAATACAAACTAAAGAACCCTTTTCCAGCAGTGACCACAATATGATTGACTTTTGTCTCAACATACGCCCACACAAAAATCACCACAATGATGTAATCCACAATTGTAACTTCAAAAAAGGCAACTATGATCTTATAGACAACGATCTCTCATCCCTTGATTGGCAATCTCTATTCACTGGATGCAATACTGTTGAAGACCATTACAACATATTTTTACTTGAAGTCAAAAGAGTCATCAAACTATATGTACCAACAACAACTCCCAAAACAAAACAAAAAAGCAGATTACCCATAACAATAAGGAAACTTCAATCCAAAAAGAGATCACTCTGGCGGAAAAACAAATCTGGTCTCGTTGCCAATTTCAAAAGCCGATACAAAAATTTATGCCACCAGATAAAGATCGAATGCATCAATTATCACATTAAACAAGAGGAAAACCTTCTAAGCACCTATTCCACCCGTGCTTTTTACAATTTTGTAAACAACAAACTAAAAGACTCAAGGTCTATCCCACCCTTGATAGGACCTGATGGTAAAGACTGCAACGACGACACCATTAAAGCCAACATCTTTAACACATTCTTCAGCTCAGTATTTGTAAACAGCAATGGATCATGCCCAGTATTTCCTAGCCGTACCACAGATAACAACAATGATCTAATACATATCGATTTTACAGAAGACAATGTTGAAAAAGCACTACGCAATCTAAAACCATCTATATCTATTGGACCGGATGGAATATGTGCCTACTTCTTAAAAAAGCTATCCACTGCCATAGCCAAACCTCTAAGCATACTCTTTGAAAAATCTTTCAGGACCAGCTCCTTGCCTAACCTATGGTCACAAGCCACAGTCATCCCCATCTTCAAAAAGGGAGACCCAAGCCTAGTTGAAAATTACAGACCAATCTCCTTATGCTGCGTCACCTGTAAAGTCATGGAATCAATTATTAACCAATCCATCATCCTCCACTTAGAGACAAACAACCTACTCTCCAATAAACAATTTGGTTTCAGAAAAAAACTATCCTGTAATCTGCAACTCTTACACTGCAAAAACATATGGACGACACAACTCGACCAGGGCAAAGCAATAGACGCAATCTACATAGACTTCTGTAAAGCCTTTGATTCAGTGGTACACGACAAACTACTCCTAAAAATAAAATCCTATGGTATCTCTGGACAACTGAATAACTGGATAGAAGCATTCCTGGCAAACAGACAACACATGGTCAAAATTGGGAGCGTCCTATCAAATTCTGTACCTGTCAATAGTGGTGTCCCCCAAGGCAGTGTTCTAGGACCAACTCTCTTCATACTCTACATAAATGACCTCTGTGATCATATTAAGAGCAATTGCGTTCTTTTCGCTGATGATGTAAAGCTGTTCAATACCACAGACAATACTGCTACCCTACAAAAAGATCTTGACTATGTATCAAAATGGTCAAACAAATGGCAACTTCAAATCTCAACAAATAAATGCTCTGTCTTACATATTGGCAAAAAAAATCAGAAAATAAAATACAAGCTAAATAGTCAAGATCTTGTTGATGACCCAAGCTCGGTAAAGGACCTTGGAATACTCACCTCTAATGATCTAAGTGCTAGAGCCCACTGCAACTACATAGCCAAAAAGGCATTAAGAGTTGTTAACCTAATCCTACGTAGCTTTTTCTCTGGTAATATCACACTACTAACCAGAGCATACAAAACATTTGCTAGACCAATACTCGAATACAGTTCATCAGTCTGGAACCCACATTACGTATCTGATATTAGCACAATTGAGAAAGTCCAGAAATATTTCACAAGAAGAGTTCTCCACTCCTCTACTCGTTGTAGAATACCTTATGCCACCAGACTTGAAATTCTAGAACTAGAAAACCTTGAATTACGCCGTCTTCGGTCTGATTTAAGCATGGTATATAAAATCATACATTGCAATGTCCTACCTGTCAATGAATACTTCAGCTTCAACCATAACAACACAAGAGCACACAATAGATACAAACTCAAAGTTAACCGCACCAAACTTGATTGCAGGAAATACGACTTCAGCAATAGAGTGGTCAATGTCTGGAATACTCTACCCGACTCTGTAGTTTCTTCCCCAAACCCCAAAAACTTTAACCTTAGACTGTCTACTATTGACCTCACCCCTTTCCTAAGAGGTCTGTAGGGGGCGTGCATAAGCGCACCAACGTGCCTACCATCCCTGTCCTATTGTTTCTCTTATTCTTCTTTTATTTTTCTTATATGTACCCATTTCATGTATTCACAGCTATGTATACACTTATACTTATTATCTTGTAAACAATTGGCAAATCAAATAAACAAACAAACAAACAAACAAACAAATAAATAAATAAATAAAAATAAATATTAGACACATGGTGAAGAACAATACAATGTTGCTTTTTAAAATAAAAACTTACTTTAGTAATAGTCTTTAAAATTGCAAGGCGATCCAAAGGTGGTGGCAAACCAACATAAAGTGTTTTATCCAACCTTCCTGGACGCAAAATAGCTGGGTCTATAATATCTGATGAGAAAATGGGAAGATAATATTAGATGGGTGCAAAACTTAAAAAAAAATAACCATAACACGACCATGAGAAGAATTATGGACCAAATGCATTTTTTTCCCTAACTTGCAACTAAAAGAAAATTGGTACAAAATGTCTTACAGATGGTTCACAACTACACAAATAATCTCCAAGATAAAAAAGATCATACAGAAACAAATGTTGGAAATGCCAAAAAACAGAAGGAACATTTAGCACATGGGATGGAGGTATACGAAAAACATAAAAGTACTGGAAAGATATATATACTACAATGCACAAAATTTTTGAAAATTAATTTCAGAAGAAAATTAGAACTTATTCCTTTACTAAGTATCAGAATATATCAATGAGAAATATAATAACTTTTTGAGATATATGCTCATAGCAGAATCAATTTTGCCCAACATTGGAGAAAAATATAATTACAACAATGCTTGGTTAGGAACTTAAACTTAGAAAATATACAGCAATGGCAAAACTAACAGCATACATTCAAAATAGAAGTTTAATCAAATTCAAGCAAGAATGGTCCCCATATATACAATATATTATACATGACAAATAAAAACACGGATGGTATGGGTGGGCTACATTCTCCTCCAAAAAAAGGCAAATTGATAGAAGCACAAAAAAAAAAGGGAAAATTAGAAACGGAAGGGTTTTTTTTTAAACAGTGCTTCCCTTTGTTGCTGTAATTTTATTTTGTCTAGTTTTTCTTTAAGAAAAAGAATGCAATATATAAATAATAAAAATAAGAACAATGAAACAACACAATGGAGACCTTTAGTATTAAGCATTCTCATCTCATTCATTCAATTTCTGTAGCCACCCCTCCCTCCATCTCAATGAATGACTCTGGGTGGCTTACAATTCTGAAAGTATAAAAACAATTAAAAAAATAAAAAGCATTTTAAAACCATAAGAAAATCCAAAATAAATATACATTGCAGTCATGATACTTAAAGCCAAGAAATGGAACGCTAAACACATATAACTCTTAGCATTTAGACCAGTGGTTCCCAAAGTGGGCGGTACCTCCCCCTGGGGGCGGTGGGATGCTTTAGGGGGCGCTAAGAGGCAAGGGGGTTGGCAGGGGGCGCTAAGAGGTGGCAGGGGGGCGCTGGAGGAGTCCAGCCGCACCGAAAAAAACACATGGCGGCTAGATGTTTTTTGCAGGCACAGGGGATCAGCACAGCGCTGCAGGCGGGATTCACCCTTTCCATCCTGGAAGCACCAAGCCACGACAGATCCCCTGGTCAAGCTGGATCAAGCCGGCTGCGAGGAAGGTCTTCCAGCGGCTAGCAGGATGGACCCGCAGCGGGGCGGTTCTCCTGGCCTGGTCCGCCGCTACCTCCGAGTCACTCAGGAAGCTCAATGCATGATGCCCAGAGCCACGGAACGAAACAGACGGAAAGCAGGGCTTCTTCCCCAGCGCCACCCAGAGCCCTCTGGCAGTAGCCAGAGACGAAGCCTCCTCCGCGGGCGGGTGAAGGGGGTTCTCTTGGGGGGCAGTGGTGGGGTGCGAGGAAGGCAAGACATACGCGCACCCCCTCGTTAAGCCAAGATTTCCAGCAAAAAGGCAGCCAGGTTTTGAAAAGCAAAGGAAAACCTCTGGCTTTCATGCTAAATCATGGTTAGTTGAAGCACAGCGTAAGTTAACCTAATTATCTGGGTTAGGTTAACGTTAACCTATTAACCATCCTGATGGTTTAGGTTTGCATCGTAATGAAGCAGCCTGGAAGGTCAAAAACAAAATATGCATTTACCAGAAATTCTCTGACCCCTTACCTTGCTTTTTATAGAAATATTGTGCAAAACCACGAAATTGCTGAACTGAAAGTAAGCATGTTTCAGTGAATAAGGATGGGTCTGGAAAATAACAGAAATGTACTTCTCCTTTTTGGTATAGTTTAACATAAGAAACACCCCGGGCTAGGCTGAGGTTATGAAATGTATAAAAGTGACGCCTCAGGAAGAGCCAGGGGTTCAGAATTTGCCATGCTAATGCTCTGAACCTTTGTGCACAAATAAAAACCTGTATTCTCCAATCTTTCGTGGTCTTGTGTCCTGATTTGGAAACAGGATCTGTTGCAACAGTAAAATTACACCAAATTGTAAGTCGTTAACCACATCTTCAGCATCTCCAGTTTACACCGGGCTAGATTTCAAGATGCATGGTGTAGAACGGCATTGAGAGCTGGGCAGCAGTCAAAGTTCATAAATTATTATCAATCATAGAAAGAAAGGGGTATATAAGGAATATCTTCTAAGGGTGGTGACATTTGTACTGTACAGTATAGTATTTTCACATACTCCTTCCATCTTTTTTGAACTGGTTCAATCTGGTTTTTTGAACTGGTTACTATCTGTCCATTAGCATCCTTTACTATCCAATTTGTAGCCGTAACCTCCTTCTGAGTTCAGAGAACTTTTGGATAACTTTCCTTGGTTTTCCATGTCTGTTTCTTCAGTGTCTTTACAGATATTGTTCTAATACTGCTTGTCTCTGCTAACAGCTCTCTGAAATTCTGTGGTCTTTGTATTTAATTTTGACTTAGAAATTGGGAAACCATGAATTGTTCAATTGGGGATTAAAGCTGCCTGGGTCACTCTTTCTTAGGACAACCTACCTAACAAGATTGTTGTGGGGAAGAAAGGAAAGAGGACATAGCTTTCAGTAATATACAGTTAAGGTGTGCTGTAAATATAGGAAATAAATAAAATTGATTTCATTCCACAGTGTCTCTGGTTTTCTATCAATGAGGTTCAGCAATTGAACCAGTGTAAATATCCTTTCCTATTTGCTATAGCAAATAATATCACAGATAATCCTCAACTTACGCCCACAATTGCTCCCAGAATTCTGTTGCTAAACAAAATGATTAAGTGAGTCATGCCTAATTTATGCAGTCTAGCGGCACCGAAAAAACCACGCGGCAGCTGCAGGCATTCGTGACAAGGGTGACGTGGGCTGGCAGGGAGCTCAGCGACAACAATGGCTCAGCCCTGGCTTGCCTTCCCTGGCAGCCAGCCGCAGAAGGAAGGTAAAGTCACAGCCATGGGATGATGAAAGAGGCAGTCGTGGGGGAGGAAACGGGGAGATTAAGAGCCGTGGCCTCTGAAAGGGAAACAGGGTGATGCAGGATTAGCCCAGGCTTTGATAGATTAGACCACGCCTGCCTGGGCAGAAAATAGGTAGATAGGTTAAGGAAGGGATATAGAGAGAGGGAAAGAGAGAGAGGGAATGAGTGAAAGAGAGAAAGAGAGAGAGAGAAAAGAAAGAGGGAAAGAGAAAGAGAGAGAAAAGAAAGAGAGGGAAAGAAAGAGGGAAAGAGAAAGAGATAAGGAACAGACAAAGTAAAGAAAGAAAAAGGGAGAGGGAAAGGAAGAAAAGGGATAGACAAAGAAAGAGGGGAGATGGAAGGGACAGAAAGAAAGATAGAGAGAGAGGGAAAGAGAAAGAGAGAAAAATGAGAAAGAGAGGGAATGAGAAAGAAAAATGGAGGGAGGAGAAAGTGAATGGGATATGGAGGGAGAGAGAAAGAGAAAGAGAGAGAAAGAAGAGACAAGAAAGAAAAAGAAAAGGGAAAGAAAAAGGGAGAGAGAAAGGAAGAAAAAGGATAGACAAAGAAAGGGGGGGATGGAAGGAAGGGACAGAAAGAGAAAGAAATAAAGAAAAAAGAAAGAAAGGGAGTGAAGAGAAAGTGAATGAGATATCTAGCCCAACCACCTGTTACAGCAGGGTTAGAAGGGTGTGTGAATGTGTGTGTGTGTGTGTGTGTGTGTGCATGGCTGTCAAAACTCCAAAAATAGGTCAAGTAGCTCTGGGGAGGTCAGTCATAAATTAGAACACTTACTAAGCAACCAGCCATTAAGTGAGGACCACTTATATTTGATTTGCCAGTCACATGGCCATGTCCACCCAGTCACATGACCACCAAACCATGCCCATCCAGTCACGTGACCAAGCCATGCCCACCCAGCAAGCCACGCCCACCCAGTCACATGACCACCAAGCCACACCCACAGAACCAATTGTTAAGAAATTTAAATCCCACCCCTGGTCATCACTGAGGATGAGTTTGTAGCACCAAGGGGGCAGTGGACTGAAAAAGTTTGGGAATCACTGATTTAGACTTATATATCGCTTCACAGTGCTTTACAGCCCTCTCTAAGTGGTTTTACAGAGTCAGCATCTTGCTCTCAACAATCTGGGTCCTCATTTTAGTGACCTTGGAAGGATGGAAGGCTGAGTCAACCTTGAGCCTGGTGAAATCTGAACTGCCAAATTGCAGGAAGTCAGCAGAAGTAGAAGGCATTCTAACCACTGCGCCATCACAGCTCATATAACAAATATGTTGATGTAATTTGTAGTTGTTTACTAATGCCATATTTAGTTCTGGATGTAAAAATCAAACAAACTTTGCTTATTAACACTGACATTTCAAAAATCATAGTTAACATTGATATATTTTTTTTCTTTATGTAGGTTCCTTGCACTTTGAGCTTGGTTGTTTCCTTGCAAACGTTTCATTACCAATCCAAACAACATCATCAATGCTTCTTTTTTATTTTTAAAGGTTTAAGTTATTCAAACATTAAGAGAGTCGATTATCTCTAGTCAATATTTTATAAACAACACCATACTCAAATAATATACTGTCCTGCTTATGTCTTAAAATAATATAATAAAACAAATAAAAATATTATCCATCCTTTAAATACAAAATAGAGGACATATGAGAAACATTACCCAGCAGCCCCAAATAAAATACTGCTGTGAATGTGTGTGAGGAGGTGTGCACATCTCTTGCTTCATTATTAGTGCAACTGCTATTTTAAGCTGGTAATACTAAAAGGACGGGCTATGACAAGTCTCTGCTAGGGAAATGCTGTTTTGGTCCAAAGCCAAAGCAGTACTTTGGAACAAGGATGTTCCGGAACACAGAGAACTGTGGCACCTCCTTAAAACAGCTCTTCCTTTTCCTGGACTTGTGGGTAGCTTTGGGATCCCAGAAAAATATGCATGGAATGTACCTGTGGGAAGCCACTTAATTATCTGATTAACCAGTCTTCAATTAGTTGTCCACCCTAATATACCCAAAAAGTCTAGTTTTTCCAATTAAATTTAAATCATATGATTGAAAAGCTAGGTTGACTAATTCCAGGTGGATAATTTCAAGATATCATAGGTCCAACGATTTTCTAATTTGTTGTTATTTGCAGCTCTAAAATGGAAATGAAGTGATGTATTTCTATTACTGAATCCTGCAGTTCTGATTATTTAAACATTTGGCTGGACCATATAGAAGTTAATCACAAGGACAATTTGCAGACATATAAAGATATGTATTGCAACAGCTTTATTTGATCTGGAAAATTAAAAAGATGGCATAAAGATTGAAGTTAATATAAAGTAAGGTAAATTCAGATCACCCTTCCATGCAGCTCCAGTGTTTTTACTCTCCTCTACATATTTTGAAATTCTTTCATCTGGATGAACAGCAGAATTCAGAACAAGAAAAGCCCAGATTATGCCCTGTTCCCTGCAAGTGGTATTGTAAAATAATATTACACATCTCTCTCTCTCTCTTTTCCTTCCTCCTGCCTCTCTTTGGATATTATGCAATAATTAACATGCATTTAGAAGCCAAGTTGAATTACAACAAAGATTGGTTTAGATGATGCAAAGTAAAAGAGAAAAACTGTTTATTCATTTGATTTATACACTATTCTACTTTTTCGTACAACTCTCGTCATATTTTCTCCACAACCAAGAGTGATTGGTCCAAGCTGGTTTTCATGTCTAACTAGAACTCACAGCCTCCCATTTCGAGTCCAGTGCCTTAACCAGTATATCAAACTGACTCTCATCTCCAGCTAGTTTCACTCAGTCACTCCACTCCACTCAAAAATCAGCCAGCCTGGGTGTTCATCAAGTTCAACAAACTTTTTACTGTGTTCACTTACAAATCAAGCAGCTTCATAATTCAGTCTATCCAAAAATCAGTTATTTTCATATATTAGAGTTATATCCCACCTTTCCTTCAGGAGCAGAGTACTGGATAAACCATTTCATCTCCTAATTTTTCCTTGCTCCAACTATCTTATGAGATAGGCATGGCTGAGAGATAACTTTGACCAAAAGGCTCCAATAAGCATATATGTGAGTGGCCTAGAAGCAAGATCTCTCTGCTCCTAGCATACCAAATTCTTTATCCGTTACTGTACTTGGAAATATCATTAGCTCATGAATACAAGCCAATTAACTGTTAACTCACAGGCATATTGCACAGGAGCAGAATATAAAAATACTAGAGATTACATCTGATCGTTTGATGATCTATACCTGGTCTATTTGTGGCTGCCATAATGAAGACTTGACGGCGTGATTCCAGGCCATCCATCTCAGTAAGCAATTGGTTCACTACTCGGACACTGGCGCCTGACTGTAAGAATAAGAATGTGAGGTAAGATAAAAATGACAACCATGGATTTAAAAGATAACCCTTAGAACATTCATCATTTTCATATCCTTGGTTCTCTTTCCTCTTGACTTTTGATCAGTCAACAAACAAAAAAAAACCCAGCATTTCTGTTTTATTATACCATGAAATCCTAAAAAAGAAATGGGTTATATAGCAGAATTAATTGATTTGGATCAATATTAATTGATTTGGATATGCAGGGTTACATTTTCCAAGTGGAAAAGCAATTTATGAAATTTATTATAGCTACCCATCTCACAAAACAAGTGAATTTTTAATTCTTTGGATTTGTTGACATTGTTAAGCCTGGATTCCCCAACGGGTGTTAAGGAAAACAAACTAAACAGAACGTGCAGCGAAGTCAGATAGGAAGACAGGTAAATGTGTGAGATAAGTTTTCTAGTTAACACGCAGTAAAAATACAGATACGTTTGTGCTACCAAAAATATAGTTTATTCCATTTAAGAATTATAGCATAGTCAAACAAACGGTCCATTAGTCATATATCAATTTCAGTCAATTCTTGTCGGGGATACTCTATTTGCAAAGTCCGTGTTGAATAGCCAATGTCAGTTCACTTACAATAAATCAGTCCAATCTTTATTTTCTCTCCGTTGAGAAAATATCAACACTCCTTCGGCAAGAACGCAGTCATCAATCCATCAAGTAATTAGGGATCAGTAAGCCAGAGAGAGCGAGCTGGAATTGCCTCGCTTCTTATATAGTGCTTTTACAACCACACCCTTAATTACATTCTTGCAGTTAAAGTTACACACACTTTAACTAACAAACCATGATACCATATTTATTATTTTTACCCAAACCAGTTAGGGTAAACAATGTTATCCCTAACAGACATGATAATATAAGGCGTGTCTGCAAAGATGGGTTGAAATTCTATTGCAGCATACAACATTTAGTAATCCCTTTCTTTCCATCTAGATGTGGCATTTGTACAATGTCAATTTTAATTTACATCACAGAGCTGCTCTGAAAACATGCAGAATAACAAATTTATATGTACACTGCAACCTGTACCTCATCTTAGTTTAAATATCTCTGGGGGAATGTTTTTAGAGACTCACTTCACGGTCTGATCTCCGAGGGCATAAAGCATCAACTTCATCAAAGAATATGACACAAGGCGCTGAATTTCTTGCACGCTGGAAAACCTGACGAACAGCACGTTCACTTTCTCCCACGTACTAGAAGCAGGAAGGAAAAGGAAATTTCTGTGAAATTGTGTGGAATCTTATTTTTGCCATCTTATTTAATAAGAAGTTGGATTGTTTACAGGAATTCATGTAGGTCACAGATTAATTCATGCTGAGGATTCTGCCAAGTTTTCAAATTGTACAGTTCTCTAGCCACAATTACCACCCGCCAATAAATTTATGGAACCGAGGCAAAATAAAATGACCAAATTCAATTTGTCAGGTCCTTCTCTTATAAATATACTAAGCAAGCCGTCTTTAAATATATTTTCTTTCATTTTCTCTTAATGCCTGTCTTTGACTTCTCTGGCTTGCTAGGTCTATTATTTTCCTGTACTTTCCATAATTCAAGTCACTTAGCAACCATTTGAATTATGACAAACCTCCCAAGAGTTACTGACAACCAGATTTCAAAGTTCCAACAGCTGCAACACCACCACCACCCTTGCGGTGATGTGATCGCATTTTGGGTGCTTAGCAACTGGCCTGTGTTTATGGCCATTTGCAAGTGTCCTGAAGTCACATGAGCATGATTTTCAGCATTTTTTTGCCAGTTTCCAGTGTTTACTTTCGATTTCTGACAAAAAGCACCCATTGGGGAAAATGGGTTCACCGCCATTTTTGCTTAATGACTGCTGCAAAAAACATTGTAAAATTGAGCATGTGACCTATTGAGTATGGTGACCTATTTAACATATTTAACAACTGCCAAGACTTATGAACCTGTATTTGTTCAGTGACTGTTTGAAGTTATGTTGGTGCTGAATGAAGGGACTGAGCACTGGTCTCTGGAGTTATGGCCAGGACATGGGCTCGCAGTCATGTGAACAAAAGTTGAGTGGCTGGTAACCAGCTTGTATTTACAACCAACTGTAGTGTCCTGCAATCACATAATTCCTATTTATGGGCTTCCCTGGCTGTTTCCTACAAGCAAAATCTATAGGGAAGGTGGCAGGGAAGGTCACAAGTTGCTTGGATAAGTTTTCCCCCAACCTGCCCTCTCTTTGCTCACATGCACCATGCCTTCCTTTCCTTCCTTCCTTCCCATGCATCCCACATCCTCTTTCCTCGGCCTTTCTATGCTCACCCACACCCACACACCCTGAGCACTCTTTTCCAGTCTTCCCAAGTTAGAGCCACACCACAGCACAATCACTCTCAGATCATGCATGGCCTATGTTTCCATGTGGCAACCTGCACTCTTTCCTGGGATCCTTCCATTTTCTGGTTAATGACCTGCACATCTGGAGTTACGACAATGCTTGGATTGCACCCATTAAGTAGTGCAGTCATGTGACCACTTAGTGATGGCAATTCCAGCCCCAATGGCTGTTGAAATTTGAGGACTACCTGTATGTAAAAGGAAATGTGTGTTCAATATATATGTATATACTCATTTTCACTATATGTATACAGCTAAATTATGTAGTTCAGTCAAACAATTCTTTGTATCAGCAAAAACTTAAAAGACAGTGGTCACCAAACAGACTCGGATAAAAAACTCACCATATTCAATAGTTCAGGGCCTTTCACTGAAATGAAGTTCAGTCCAGATTCATTTGCTACGGCCTAGTAAAAAATAATTTAATTACTGTTTAATTACTATTTTTTCATTTTATATCATCATCATTATCACCACCATCATCATCCCAGCATAGGCCTTTTATCTATGAAAATCTATACAATATCAAAACTTTATACTACTACCATGATGCAACTGGTTTTCTCAAGCACTTTTTAAAAATTTATAGTACAGAAATACAAATCCAGGGAATTAGAAACATACTCAAAATAACTGAGTATCACAGTGAATGTGACTGATTTGTATAAAGACAGAAAAGACTAAAGTGCAATATTTTTTAATGCAGAAAAATCTATTGATAATTCTTTAAGCGGTCTATGTAAGCCACCTTAGTTAAATCTTAAATGTGGATTTTGATGTGGCTCCTAAACAAAAAATGGTCGATTTTTTAAAAATTTCATTTTATCCTATAAAATACTACAAAAGGATATCCTTTTGTTCCTTTGTTACATTTTTAGAACATTCAACCTGTGCTGTTAGATAGAATCATAATATCTGTAGTTTTTTCCTCATAATTCATTAGAATATAATTTAGTATATGTTGATGATATTTTATTGCCTATTTCTGAACTTCAGAGAGTACTTTGATTCTGGATTTGATGCATTTGCTTAACGCATTTGGGTAAGTTGTAGAGTATTCTATGAGTCTAAGTTAGAAATAATACTGACAAAGAAAGAATTATATACTAATGCATTAAGTAATTATAAGGTTCATATATGTCCTGAATTTAATTATTTAGATATTTTTATTGTATGTGCTACTTTTCCAGTAATTACATTTAATTTGAATAAAGACATAGAGGGAGGTTTCTTTAGATGTTGATAGATGCTTTGATTTTGCGGATAATATAAACACAGTCAAGATGAATGCAAATTGAAGGATTGGTTAATCAGGTTAAGCACTGGGGAGAAATTTCTTAATGAATTGGGGTCCAAGATCCTAAGCATCAGCAAACAGAAGCTATCAGATTGATGGGAAAAGTGATCCTTAAGTGTTGGAATTCTCTGAGCAAATAAGCAGCCAAAATTACCTTCGCAAGCAGTGTTTTGCCACATCCAGGAGGACCAGCAAGCAGCACACCAGCTGGAGCTAGAAGTCCAAGGGCTTGGAATTGTTCAGGATTCCTCACAGGTGCCTGTTTAAAAAAGCACCCTGCATACATTAGTTTTCTTCTGCTCTTATCATATAGTCAGTCCTCAAATTACAGTAGCAATTGAGACCAGGATTGCTGTTGTTAAGTGATGAAGTTGAAAAATGCAATGTCACATGATCACACCAGTTCAGTGATGACAATCCCAGCACCCCTGGTTGCTGTCGTAACCTCCGGACACACAGGTTGTTAAGGGAAAAGAGACAGAAATGTCAGGCAAAAAGCATGGGGGAGCAGAGAAAGGTTGGAGGAAGTTGTATGCAGGTCTGAGGAGGCATTGGAGGGCCAACGGAAGCCAAGCACAGATTTGAGGAGCCCCTGGCAGGACTAGTGAAGGCCACACAAGGGCGGGAGGGGTGCTGTGGGTGGGAAAAGAAGCACCAGGAGTGACATATTTGAAATAACCTGCAACCTTCCCTGCCAGCTTCCCCATTGACTTTGCTTGTTGGAAGATGGTAGGGAAGGTTGCAAATGGTGTTCATGTGACCACAAGGGTGCTGTGATGGCCAGAACATTGAGGATTAGTTATATGTCCATTTCTCCTGCACCACTATAACTCTGAATACTCACTGAACAAATGGACGTTACACAAGGACTACTTGTAATTGGAATGAACTCAATTTTCTAAACCATCATAATATTTCCTAAATTGTAAAAAAAATGACAATCCTGCTTAAATTACCAAATTGATTTCAGAAGATAACTTGGTTGCAACATTTCCTGTAATTAAGGTATAATATTAAATAGGAAGGTGGGAGAAGGAAAACCAGTCTAATTCAAGACTAATACGTTGTTCTCAATTCCTATGGGAAAAATGACTGAAGACATCATTCTCTTTAAAAAGCCTACCTAAAGTAGGCACACGCAGTATGCACAACTATTCTTATGATGTGGGAAGGCAAATCAACTGTAATTAAGGTAAGAGTGGGGAACTACCTTGTTAAAAACCAGAATGTAATGAATCCTGAGATATTATCTGGCTTTTAGTGTGAGTGGAACACATATTGTTCATTATTTATGACAATTATACATATACTTTACATACAGAACTATCTGGCTAAGAAGCGAGTAGAATTTTCTGCATATTTTTGTCTGTAAGCTGCTACAAAGACACAACAGGCAAGATACATAGCTCAGCGCCTCTCTTTGGTTTCCATTTATTAGTAAAGACCAAGATAAACTCATTAACATGGAAGTCGTACATCTAGCTTTGTGGCAGCTGGAATTCTGATGGGACAAAGATAGAATAGCTTCTGTGATTCATACCCTAATTGGATTACTGCAAAAAAAAAAAAAATGTAGGTAAACTCTTGAAAATGGTTTAGAAGCTACACCTCATGCAGAATGTATCTCCCCAATTGTTAAAAAGGGGAGATAAATGAGACCACATATCACCACTTCTGTAAGCCCTCTACTGGACCAATTCAATGTACTGACATTTAAGTATTTACATGATCTTTAAAAAAAATTCTTCTGATACCATCCAACCTGAGTTCAGCTTATGGTGCCACAGTCAGGAATAGGATCTTTCTGATGGCAACACCACCATTATTACACACAATTTTACACAATTCCTAGGTTTTCTTTACCTAGGAATTTGAAGTATAAACATTATTTCAGGGCCAAACTTTCAGACTATCTATTACATGACTATTTTTAGCCACGAACCTTTAGTCAAAATTGAGCTCCTTTTGGGTTACCATCCTCACCATCACTTATGCCATCATTTTAGACATTATTTACTTTCCTTGGATTAATAGCCTTCATTATACCAACCTTTGGCCAAAAGTCCTCTGCTACTAAATATTAAAACAAACAGGAATAATTGTTCTTTTCAAAATGGAGCAATGATAAGCAATTTAGTTTACTGTTAACTTTTGTAAATCAAAGCAGAGCTGATCTCCTTGCACACGTTTTTAGGCAAAAAGTACCACATGCCTTTAATTCAGAGTGGCTGGCGGACTTACATCGTTAATTTCAGAAAGTGAGGATCATCTTATATAGAGCGCATCAACATTTGGTGAAAGCATCTGCCCATACCAGTATAGCCATGGTCAGCTCCTCCCGAACCTCTTCCAGGGCTCCAATATCTGCCCACGTCACATCAGGAACAGTGACAAAGCCTTCTCTCTTTGCAGAGGGTTGCACCGAAGGGAGAGCAACAGTGAAATCCTTCAGCTCAATGCACAGCTTCTGCAGCTGAGCCTCCCCCAGGGGATCTGGCTCCTTCAGCAACTGGAGCAATCTTTGCAATTCATCCTAAAGAAGGGAGATTAGAGGAGGAGGAGGAAAATAAAAAAAA